AACAAACAAAAAAACAGATACAATTTCAAAATTATAAGCTACAAAAATCCCTAACATGATCAATCATTCACCAAACTTCTTTGCAAAAGTGAAGCAGCTGTTACTAAGAAGTAAATGATTGGTTACATCGAAATCTTACTGAAAACTGCAGAGAGAGAGAGCTGTGCTATCCAGCAAATAATATGCAACTAAGTGGAAAATGGCCCTATAAATAACAATATTTTAATATAATTGTTATTCACATATTAACAACCCAAACCACAGTAATAAAGCGCTGAATAAACAAAGTGCAAATAAACACAATAATCCCGTCAATGTATTTTCACAATTGTGACTCAAACATGAAACATTCCAAATAAATTCAAGGTGTCTAATGTGGATAAAGTCTGTCACTGAAATATTGTGTATTAAAACATGAATAAAATGTACAATCTGTTCAACCAAGTGTCTGGTATTTTTTTTTTTTTCCACCACCTTACATACTCAAGTCAAACTTGTGCTTCAGAGCACCCCTTTAAAAAGCGCCCACACACCGGATTTAGTTGATCTTTAAGAAGGTCTATCATACCTCTTGTTGTAACATCCTCATTCTCCAGAAAAAATCAACCACAAAAAGCAGAGAACTGGGACATCCTCTGGTATATCCAATCACATATGTATAAAGCTATGGGAGACACAGACTGTAGCAACAATAGCAGTTTATCAGTTAGTCCTCAAGACGTTGTGTAAGCATTCTGCTGTAGGTTGAATAACCCACAATCCGATCGTTTTTTTTTTTTTTTTTTTTTCCACAGGATCAAGAATATAATGAAGACTGAAGATCCAGTGGTACTTAAAAGCAAACTGATCCCCAAAATTCTTGGTACACTTTCTCCAGTGAGCCAGCACAATTATCAGGTCTACGTCCAAGAAACAATATGAGCTGTGGTGGTTTTCCAGCATCTGGCCAGTCCTGTCTAGCCACTTTTTGGACGTGGGTTGTTATTATTCGGAAGCAAGGTGGAATTATATACATTTCTAGGTTCAACATAGCTAAACCAGAAGGTGGGGGGGGCAATCAAAACAAAACCATTTCAGATATAAGGTGAAATATGCGTTTTCAATAGCTACTTAAGGCTTTAATAGAGTACAGAAGACTGTTGGAAGGACTGGGGACAAGTGCGTAAAGAGGTGAGATGAATGGAGGAGAGAATTTTGCCAGGAGATAACGCATTAGATACCATTTTAGTGTTCTCTTTTTATAGAGTTCCCAAAGATTGATGTGGAATGCTGTATAGTTGGCCTTAATGGCAAAAGGCCACTGGGAAATAGCATAGATAGTGCCAAGATCCCTTTCCCATTTTAGGTAGATTCAGTAAAAATTTGTCATTTAGGAGATGATAAAATATGTTAATCCCTTGTTTTATTTTTATGTAGGTAGCGCACGTGTTCCTGGTCTGGTAGATCATAAGAAGCAGATAGTGACGCAAATGTTTCAAATTCAGTATTGGTATATACAGCTGTGTGCAAAATAATAGCAGTCCAACATCACTGACCAGATCAATCACTGTTTTTGGTATAAATTATATTTCGACATGGCAAACAATTTACTGGTGGGTGTAGTAGAGTGATAGAAAATGAACAGACCCAAACAGTCATGACATGCATGCTGCTGATTCTGTGTAACTGAATCATTAATTGAAAGGGGCATGGTCATGTTCAATAATAGCAGTGTGGAGTTTAATTAGTGAGGTCATTCAGTAAGTGAAAAAACAGGTGTCAAACAGGTGGCCCTCATTCCCCACAAAAAAGGGGAAGTTTCACTTTAAGGACTGGTCTCCCTCTTCCCGTTAAGGATTGGCACCTTTGCGGAGTGGGTACCCGAAATTGACAGGTACCCGCTCCCACCTCCACTGAGATCGCCTAGGATTTTGAACTTCACTCACATTTTTAAACACACTGCTATTATTTTTAACACAACTGTAGGTCTTTAAAGTGTTACTAAACCCAGGACCCTGCATTCACTATATCCTGTCTTCCACAGTACACACAACATGGAAATGCAATTATTTTAGTAAATATAAACTGCTAAATACCTTTCTCATCAGCAGTGTACAGAAGTTTTGTGACGTCTATCAGTGTTCAGCTGAGCACTGGTTAAACTTGTAGAAGGAGTTTTCATTCTACACTGCTTGTGCTATGAGGCTGCATAACCCCTGACCCTCTGTCTGAACAGTGCTGATTGGCCCTGTGCTGATCACATGCACCTTACAAAAGGAAAAAAAAAAAATGCTCTAAGCTTACACACTAAACTGAGCATGTTCAGAGTGACTCCTAGAGCTCAGTATTTTTAGCATATGAATAAGGGACAGTAAAAGACAGGGAGGATCAGAGAAGACAGGATCAAACAGCCTTTTTTACACAATGCAGAGGATTACCCCTCAGGCTCCACAGTGAGTATAACAAACATGCTTTACTGCATATACAGACTGATTTTATTGTTGTGGGTTTAGTAACACTTTAACCCCTTTCCTCCTAAGGGTAAAGCAAATGTTAATACCTAAGCACAATTTATCAACTTTAACATGTGTTAGTAAAACTGTACATATCATCACAACTACTTTGTGCATCCAAGTGGATTATACCTTGGGTTTTTTTTTTTTCAGGACAAATTGGGCTTTCTGTTGGTGGTAAATGGCAACAGATATTTCCTGATTTTTTTTTCCTATTATCAAAGGAAAACTGGCCCCAAAATAGTAGCAAAAAATATTTATTTTAAATTGGTATTACCATAATTTACCACCAAAGAACAACCCAAAATAAATTCTCCTGCTCTTGACAATCGCAGCAATACCACATATGTATGAGTTACTATACATAGTAGGGCCCAGAAACAATAGTGTGCATTTTTTTATCCTGTTTAAAACAAACACACTGACACTGAGTGGAGTGCCCGTTCACACATTGCTTCCTATGGTGCCTGTACAGATATTTCCGGTGCACTGACAGTGCGGATTCAGTGCGGTTTTAAAAAGTGTCATGTCCGATTTCTGAACAGTGTGGTGCGGTTCAGGTGTGGATTACAGGCTATTGATTTCTATGAGAACCCTTTCTAAACCGCATGTGTGAACAAGATAAGAACCTGAGCTAATCCTGTCCTGAACCTGATGTAAACATGAAGTGAACCTGTTACAGTTACTGTATCAATTAGCTGTGAAACCTGAGCTTCGCACCACACATATGTGAAGCTTTGATACTAATTTAAATTTTTTTTTTTTTACATTCTACCCCAAATTTGCTGACCATGACCTTTGACCCCAACACAAACCACTAACCCTGTCAAACCTTGATCTTGTTATGTTTTTCTTTGTTATTATTTAGATTACTTATTTTTTACACAGATTTTGTTTGTGTATATCTTCCTCTCCTGCAAGAAGAGAAAGATACAATGTATCTTTCCCTCTATTCAGAAAAGGAAGTAAACACGGGGGGGCTTACAGTGATTGATCACCATGATAGCCAATCAGAGATTATCACAGCAATCAGGTGACCCGGAACCAGGAGACGCAGGTCTCGAATGTTAGTACGAGACCTGGGACTCTTGGTGGGAGCCCAGTTTCTGTGCTGAGAGCGTGCTGTGCAGTGTGCTGTGGTGAAGCAAGCTCACAGTACAAAGATACGCATATATGAGACCCCACGGAAAAAGCCACACTTCCGTGAGGACGCATTTATGCATACAATCGTCAGGAAGGGGTTAAAGCTGAACTTCAGGAATTATATTTTTTCATACTTGCATAGGGCCAGCTTGGCTCAATGTATGTACCTGTATCTGATATCTGGAGGAAAACTGGGATGTTGCAAATCATTGTAATAGTTGGAGCTACATACATTGTGGAGTGCTGTCATTTTCCCAGTTCTGTGCATGCAGCTTTCCTTCTGCCACCCAACAAAGGGGATCACTCACGGGGCACTTCTGTCAATCAATGGAGGCGGACAGGAAGGACCATGATGTGACGATCTTCACCTTGCTCAAACAGAGAATACCATGTATTCACTGAAAAGATACAAGGCATTCTATTAAGGTGTCCATAGCAGAGGCATTGGAAAGCTACGAAATCTGGCTATTTTCGAAAAAACGTAAATGACCAATTTGCCATGAAAAAGAGCAGTGAAAGCTCCTACTGCATATCAGTTTGGTCAGACCTACTGACCAAGTCAGTTGTTTTTTAGTAGGACAAACAAGCTCTTTTGTAAATATAGCAGTTAGAGTGTGGAGACAAACCATTTATCACTTATAGGGGGAACTCAAAATGATTAGCTTTTATTTATTCATGTAAAAACCTTTATCCCAAAAGGAACAAAACTGTTGCTGCAACTGCATTGTGAGCTGGAGTTTGGCTTCAATTTTAATAGTGTATCTAAATCTGCTATTACATCTAAAACTCCCATCTCTCCAGATTAAAAATGCTGCTGTGCTCATTTAGCCACCTCCCGCCCGCCATATAAGGCAATGACGGACGCAAGGAGGTTCGCTTGTTCTGGGAGGACGTCACATGATGTCCTCCCACTCTAACAGCACGTGCGTGGCTCCGAGAGCGCACAGCGTGGCGTTCGGTGGTGCGCTGTGTCCCTCGGACACAGCAAATCACCGATCAACGGAAAGAGCCGAAGATCTTGGCTCGGTCATGTGATCAGTTGTGTCCAGTCACAGCTGCTCGCATGTAAATAGGGAAATGCTGGTTATCGGCATTTTTCTCCTCACGAGCTGTCACGCTGACAGCTCAAGAGGAGAGGAGAGCCAGTAATCGGCTTTACTCAGAGGGGACATGTACACTGATCATCAGGGCACTGATGATCAGTGTGCCCTGATGATCTGTGTAGCCCCGGATGTGCCACCTGTCACTGTCCATCAATGCCAGCTGTCAGTGCTCATCAGTGCCACATCAATGCCACATATCAGTGCCTACCAGTGCAAATCAATGCCACATATCAGTGCCCAACTGAGCTGCCTTTCAGTGCCACCTATCAGTGCCAGTCAGTGCCACCAATCAGTGCCACCTATCGGTGTCAGTCAGTGCTGCCTCTCAGTGCCATATATGAGTGCTGCCTGTCAATGCCCATCAGTGCCATCTACCAGTACCTCATCAGTGCAGCCTATCAGTGCCCATCACTGCAGCCTCATTAGCGCACATCAATGAAGGAGAAAAATCACTTATTTACAAAATTTTAAAACAAAAACTAAGAAAAATTGTTTTTTTTTTTCACAATTTTCAGTTGTTTTTGGTTTGTTTAGCAAAAAATAAAAAATCCAAAGGTGATTAAATACCACCAAAAGAAAGCTCTATCTAAAAAAAAAAATGATAAAAATTTCATATGGGTACAGTGTTGCATGACCACGCAATTGTCATTTAAAGTGCGACAGCGCTGAAAGCTGAAAATTGGCCTGGGCAGGAAGGGGATATAAGTGCCCTGTAGGCAAGTGGTTAACCAGTGTAGAAGCACTCTAATACAGGAGATGTGATCACAGGTGAAAACAGAGGAAGAAATGTCTGATGAAAAAAAAAAAACAAATGCAGCAACCACATCTAAGTATTACATTACAGTTTTGGTTTAAAAGATAAGTTCACCTTTTGCCAAAAATTAATAAATGCACATTTTTTTTTTTGTAGGTAAAAAAATGTGAATTTATTATTTTTGGTTTTGGGAGCCTATAAAGCATTGCACCTGCGATCAGCAAATCGCTGGTGCCATGCAGGTCCACTGCAGACCTGTCAGTATATATGCTTGCCTGTACAGGATGTATAGGCAAGCAGATATACTGAAAGGAAAATTTAATGAATTACCACCAGGGTGGATTTGATTTAAATCAAGTTGATTTAAAACACGATTTAAATCATGATTTAATTCACTAGTGAAAAGGCTTGATTTAAATCATAATTTCTAAAGAGCAACTGTCAACTCTGACCCGCAGCGGCTCCTCCTATGACCCGCTGTCAACTCACCGGAAGTCCCATTCACTTTAATGGGACAGTTGGTGATGCGTCAGTGACACAACAAGGCAAGGGACGTCGCGGCAACAGGTGAGTGGATGCCCGCTAACAGGCACTGCCATGATGGATCTAAAATGACAGGTGCACTTTAAATGTAAGGACTCCGATTCATTCTTGCTGGTAATTAGAATCTTTAATATTTGCAAACCAAATGAAGGTTTCCTTTTTAGAATAATAAGCTGTCAAGTTAGAAAAACAGCGATATCAGAACCGATTTTAGGTTTAACAGGTTAATCACACGTAGTTGGAGAACTACTCAAATTCTTTTATTTCATGTTTTTCCTCATGGTTACTGTGAAATTGTGTGAATGCATCGGTGCAGTGCATGTTATCTCAGCTTGCAGAGCTTTGATTCATTTAATTAGTTTACCAAAAATTTTAATATTGGGGGTGGGAGCAGACATCGGGCTGCAGATGCAGCATTGGGAACATGTTACATGTTCCACCCAAAGGTGAACTTATCCTTGAAATGTAAGCTCCAAGGAGCAGGGCCCTCCTTTCCCTCTTGTATTGAACTGTATTGTCTCCCGTTATATTGTAAAGCGCTGAGCAAACTGTTGGCGCTATATAAATCCTGTATAATAATAATAAATGTTCGGTGAAATTAGCTTTTAGCAGTTTAATTTACAAGTGCACTAGTGCACCCAATGCCCTACCCCAACATCCCTGACACATACCTTTTCAGCTCCTTTGAGATGATTGCTTTGTGGCCTCCTCTGCGTTATACAGCTTCATCAGGAAATATTTCACCGTCAGGTATTGCGCCGTCCATGCATGTTCACTAAAAACTCAATAAATGCCACCTAGCAAAACAAGGACTTTCTATTGGAATGAATGTGTAATCTCTGGAGAGTCTGTGTGATGCTGAACAGACTGCATGGCTATTATCTTAGTGGAGCAGGCGCAGGTAAATGGGTGGTTTGACAAGAATGCTGGGACAGAGCATCTGCACTCATTCAGGGTAAATGCAGTTGCACTTAAGCTAAAATAAATCAGCAGATCTGGGAAAACACACTCGTGGGATTGAGTTGTTCAACACAACTACAGAAAAGCATTATTCCTGATCCCGGAGCAAAACACTGTATATTGGTAGAATTGTTTTTTCCATTCTCCATCCAACCAACTACTATCTCACTTATAACATCAAAGGGTGGAAGAAGGATGAGGGGAGGGTGTCACCTGAAAACACACGAATATGTTAAGAACACTAACATGTACAAGATGTATTAGATTAGTTGTGATTTATCTAGGCTACCCTAAAACAGAAGTCCATGGTGGAGTAGAGAATCATGCATGGTTTCCACAGTGGAAGGACTACAAAACAATATCAATGTGTACAAAGCCGAGTGGCCTGAAAGTGTGCTTCATATCTGCATTACTCAATCAGAATTGCTGCAGGAGAGCAGCTTGACTTAGAAAAGCAGCAAGGGGAAACACTGCAAGCCTTGTAATTGATGCAGTCCTGCCTTTACTGATTTGTGCCATGTAAACTCCATTCAGGACAGTTTGAGGTACAATCAATTCTCACATAAAGGATGACAAATTAAAATTGGAAAGTAGAAAGTGAATATGCTGTCAAAAACTGCCAACAAAGATTGAACTTTCATTTTAAACAGGAACAGCTTTAAAACAGGAATGCTGAGCAGTTCTAGAAATCTCAAACCCAGATCTGCACTACATTTCCTTCCTCTATTTTTAATGAATCAGCACTATAATATTTATACATGCAAATCAGACCCATATAAGCTCTTTTACAAATATGAGATATGTTGCAAACCAGCATTATGCTTTAAATATTGGTCTGTTGGAAAGTATTTACATCTGTAAAATGAGCTTGGGGTGTTGGCAAAAATTCCTAAACCTAAAAATCTCTTATGTCAGCACAAGATATAGGGAGTGTCAGGTTTTGTCATTTATGTTAAAAGGTCAAGAAAAAATGAGTTATAAAAGGATTAGCCTTTTAACCATATGCAGGCAGTTCATTGTGATGGGGTCCATGACATGGGTATGTTACTAGCCAAGCCTGTAAAAATAAGATCCTGCCAATCTGTTTAATGAAAATACAACAAAGCACTTTATAACCCGTGGTATAGGTCGCTCATATACAGTTGCAAGAAAAAAGTATGTGAACCCCTTGGGATTACGTGGAGTTTTGCATGAATTGGGCATAAAATGTGCTCTGAACGTCATCTAAATCACAACAATAGAAGAACACAGTCTACTGAACATAATACTACACAAACATTAGATGTTGCCATGGTTTAATTGCACATAACATGTAAACATTCACAGTGCAGGGAGGAAAAAGTATGTGAACCTTTGGACTTAATAACTGGTTGACCCTCCTTTGGCAGCAATAACCTCAACCAAACGTTTCCTGTAGTTGCAGATCAGACCTGCACAATGATCTGGAGTCATTTTGGACCACTCCTCTTCACAAAACTGTTTCAGTGTAGCAATATTCTTGGGATGTCTGGTGTGAATCGCTCTCTTAAGGTCATGCCACAGCATTTCAATCGGGTTGAGGTCAGGACCCTGACTGGGCCACTCCAGAAGGCGTATTCTGTGCTGTTGCAGCCATTGTTTTGTTGAATTACTTGTATGCTTTGGGTCATTGTCCTGTTTCATCACCCATCCTCTGCGGAGCTTCAGTTGGCGGACAGATGGTCGTTCCTTTTTTCTGCAAAATGTCTTGATAAACTCTGGAATTCATTTTCCCATCAATGACAACAATCCGTCCAGGCCCTGAGGCAGCAAAGCAGCCCCAAACCATGATGCTCCCTCCGCCATGTTTCACAGTGGGGATGAGGTTTTGATGTTGGTGTGCTGTGCCTTTTTTTCTCCACACATAGTGTTGTGTGTACCTCCCAAACAACTCAATCTTGGTTTCATCTGTCCACAGTATATTTTGCCAGTAGTGCTGTGGAACATCCAGATGCTCTTTTGCAAACTTCAAACGTGCTGCAATATTCTTTTTGGACAGCAATGGCTTCCTCCGTGGTGTCCTCCCATGTACTCCATTCTTGTTTAATGTTTTCCTTATTGTAGATGTGTCAACAAAAATGTTAGCATGTGCCAGAGATTTCTGTAGGTCTTTAGCTGACACTCTGGGATTCTTCTTTACCTCATGCAGCATTCTGCGCTGTGCTCTTTCAGTCATTTTTACAGGACGACCACGCCTAGGGAGAGTAGCAACAGTGCTAAACTTTCTCCATTTGTAGACAGTCTGTCTTACCATGGACACATGAATACCAAGGCTTTTGGAGATACTTTTGTAACCCTTTCCAGCTTCATGCAAGTCAACAATTCTCGATCGTAGGTCTTCTGAGAGCTCTTTTCTGTGAGGCATGGTTCACATCAGACAGTGCTTCTTGAAACCAGTAAACCCAAAACAGGTGTGTGTTTTTTAAGGGCAGGACAGCTGTCAGCAACACATCCAATATCATCACACTGATTGGAGTCAAGGTTGGCTCACTCCTGGCTCCAATTAGCTCTGGGAGAAGTCATTAAGTTAGGGCCTCACATACTTTTTCCTCCCTGCATTGTGAATGTTTACATGTTATGTGCAATTAAACCATGGCAACATCTAATGTTTGTGTAGTATTATGTTCAGCAGACTGTGTTCTTCTATTGTTGTGACTTAGATGACGTTCAGAGCACATTTTATGCCCAATTCATGCAAAACTCCACGTAATCCCAAGGGGTTCACATACTTTTTCTTGCAACTGTATGTATCCAGCCAAGACAACTCAAGCTGTAAAAATAGGATCTTGCGAACATTATTAATAAAAATAATATGAAGTACTTTATACCCTCTGGTACAGAATTGTTATATGGCATCCATCCATTAGATTTCATAAGCCCTCTCTAAAATATATATTAATATGCATTATAAAAATGAGTAAACATAACTAAACAGCAATTGGGCGTTAGTCTGGACTTTCTGAACTGTACTAAAGGAGTGACATCCTCTATCACTCTAGAACAGTGGTCTCCAAACTGTGGTCCTGGGGCCTGGTGCGGCCCTTTGTTCACCTTTATCCGCCCTTTGAGGCATTATGCCTGCCACTAACACCAACAATGGGTCATAACTCCTGCCACTGACACAAAAAATGAGGCATAATTCCTTTCACTGACACCAAGTATAGGGCATAATTCCTTCCACTGGCAAAAAAAAAATGGGCCACTATTTCTCCCATGGACACCAACTATTTCTCCCAATACCATAAAATCGTGTATTGTTTACTCCCACTGGGCACAGTCTGGCCCC